TAGATGTTTCACAACCCATTAGAATACACCAAAATGCAAGAAATCACATGTATTTTATTAAAAAATTTCTGGGGAAGGACCCACAGACCCTCGCCAGCATGCTTGCTATTTACCAGTACATATCGGCATCGATCACGTTACAAATTAAGCCCTGGTACTTGGTATGAGTGCTGCTGTTATAATTCTGTTCAGAGTTTTCTGTAATAATTTGAAGAAGTGGCAATACATTTATGTTCTTTATGTAAAGTATTTAAGTGGTTTTTGATTATGTTAATTTTCTCAAAAGTGTAATTTTTTGTTGCTGAAATTAAAAAATGTTATTAATTAAGTGTGTCTTGAATGGAAAAATACCCTATGTTTACAAGTGTAAAAATTGTGTTAACACTAGTAAAGAACAGGTGTTAAGCTTTAATGTTAAACAAATATTTCCACTGCATTAAAGAGACAAACTGAAGGAAATTATTTAATAAACATGAGGGTTATGAGGGGGTCCCTGAACCCAAAAAGTTTGAGAACTTCTGGTTTAATGTATGTTTCCGTTTTCTTATTGTGAGCTGATAGTTTACAATGGTATTTATATTAGTAAGACATCATCTGCATATATAAATATTCTGTTAAAAAAAAGCTTAAAAGTTGTTCATAAAATGGTGAAATGGATTATACTTTATAAAATATTTTGAATTTTATGGAATCAATCAATCATATTCAATTTGTTATTTTATTCTTTTAAAAAATCTAACTTTTTTTTAATATATATATAATTTATAATTTGGAATCAAAATATAAATTATAGGAGGACAGTCATTAAGAGCAGACAGAAAATCCTTCCTATACTGTTAATGACACCCTGAAGAAATTTAAAGGTGCACTATTTTTACATGTCATGCTTAAAATATTCCCACCACACCTGCTCTACTCTTCACGGCTGATAATGACAAACATAAATCCAAGCCAACCTGAAACCCCTTGATTGAAGTTGTCTTAGTTGTGACTCTGCAAACACTTTATTCTCTTTTAATAATTCCCATAGGAGAGAGGGAAAAAAAACATCAATGATAGCAGGTGTTGAAAACAAGCTTGCCTTTTTAGCAATCAGGAACATGAGAGGTTTGCCACTTCTTTCCAGTGGTTAATGGTGGGGATAAATAAAAGAGGCTCTTGCAAAAATCACTGTAACAACCTTGGCCATGCTTAGATACAGAACTTAAATATAACAGACAGCTCTAATCCAAAACCTTTCTACAGTATTCAGCGTATTCACTCAAAATCTGATGTCTGCCGTTGGCTCTTTGTAAAGTTACTGAACCATTAAAATACATGAAAAACACAGAAGTCAATATGATGAAGAGGGCACAATCATTGTGGTGTTAAAGGTGTAGGTATTAGAAATACATTCAAGGTTTCTCTTTCTCTAATGATCAAACGTGGACAAACTGGCATTTCGTCTTTTTTTGTTTTTCTTGGGTGAGATGTTATAAAATGGGTGCACATTCAGACATTATATCGATGTCCCCAAATATAAAGCTTTGGTTTTAAGGGGCAGGTAAGTTTAAAATTGTTAAAGCCATAGGCTCATTGTACATTCTGACTTAGATACAGAAAGAATGACTGCATTCAACTTAGAGGAGTGATGCTTGCACAGGTGAAGCCTAGATTACTAGATTACTAGATTAAGACTGGGGTACTGACAGTGAGAGAGGAGCTCATCCTATAAATAAATGAAATCTGTGGGAGGAGGTGTCACTTTAAAGCCAGGCGTGAGCTAAATAAAAATGGAGATGGTGTATTGCTCTCACCGCTGCATTTGAGACGACCATCTGGCACATGTGCGGGCTGATTTGTCACTTGAAATGTAGAGCAAACCCTACATAACTGAGAGCAACAGAGTATATACTCTGCTGGGGCTTTATTTCTCTCTAAAGACTAGCAAAGAATGAAAGATTTGAGAATCATAGACTTTGGGAAGTTTTGCTCATGTGCAAGTTCTATGGATAACTCAAAGTCTAGAAGTGATAAACAGTGCATGACTTGTTAAAATGTCCCGTCCTTATTGGTTGGCAACTGTTTAGGATGAGTTGGTGAACAGTATCAATGTTTCAACTTATTGACCAATATTATCCTAAGGGAGTCTCCGTAGTGCCCTAAGGCATTCACAAGGCTTCTTGATTTCATTGCTAGTGTTGCAGAGACTCGCAGAGGCTCTCAGATTTTGTCTCTTGAATTTTGAGCTTGTAAAAAAAAAAAATTGTGTGCTATTTTTTTTTAAGTGGTTCCAGAATTGTAGTCGAATCAAACCCTTCTCGTTTTCGTTTCTGTCATTTATAAACCACTAGTGCTGTATGTGGATACGTGCATCAGTGCTTTCTACGTCAGGAAACATCAGAGGCTACAGCCCAAGGTGTCCGTGTCTTAAAACCACACTGATGATACATGAGAATTGTTTAAAAACTGGTTATGATACAGTATCTTCAATTCAAAAGTTTACTCTAGTAGCAAGTTAGGTGATTAGCACTGTTGCCTCACAGCAAGAAGGTCCTGGGTTTGATACCCTGGTTTGGGCCTGGCATCTTTCTATGTGGAGTTTGCATGTTCTCCTTGTATTGTATGGGTTTTCTCCAGATACCTTGGTTTCCTCCCACAGTCTTCAAAACATGCACGTTAGGCTGCTTTCAGAGCCCCTTGCGAGATCTGTGATCTCAATGGGATTTGCCTTGTTAAATGAATGTTAATAAATGATTCACTTTGTAAAGGTGGGCATAAAGTGGGTCAAGGTGGGTCCGATGTGGGCAACTAAACAATGAGCACTGCTTGAAAACAGTTTTATGAATCATTCACAGAACAAAAGACTGGCATTTTCTGAAATTGGACGCAGTATACACTACTGCACAGCTTACTTATGTTTGTCTCAAACACAATTGATAATGTACCTATTTTTCTGCAATTTTGAGCCACAAGCTAGTCTCCAAAAGTTACACCCTAGGGAGATAATACATGTATCTTTACAGTGTCAGAGTAAAATAACCTTGACATTTACCGGTCATAAGTCTATTTATGCATTTTTAAGACTTATTTAATGATCTGTAACTAATGCAGTAAAGATAGAATGTTTCATGCATGAGTTTTTGTGGGTTTTTGGAAGTGTGGCAATAACTGGTGATGTGTGACTTATCTGTGCTGCTGATTATCCAGGCTGCTGATCTTTTGCCTTTATGCTGCTTTATTCATGCTGCTATTTTAATGATTTACATTATTAGTGTTCAGCGTACATCTTAGATGTTTAGTGATCGTTTAGCATATATCAGTGTATATCTTAGCTACTTATACTGTTTCTTTTTGTACTTTATATCTTTGCTATTTTGGGTGTAACTGGGACCTTGAGTAGACAATTTTGTTCCACCTCATGTGCCACATGTGATGCGAATGACATTAATTGAATTTGAACTTAATAGACACTAAAAAAAGAACAAAAAAGTTAATTTTTGGACAATTCTGAGTGACATACTGACATGACAAATTACTTTGCCTGCCAGAAGGATTTAGGCAAACCCAGGAACACTTTTTGTCCCCCAAGATGTATTTATTTATTCATTTGTTTTATTTTTTACTTTGGACAGATCACAGGTCTGCTGACATATATCTTTGCTTTAGGCAGTTTGAATCGCCCTTGACAGCTTAGTGATTTTATTTTTTACATGAAATCGGAGTATCTTCTTTAAACACAATAGAACACATTATCATTTTCATTTATTATTTAAATAATTTGAATTTAACAATGAAATGAAAGTTTCAGTTTTCCAACAAGGCAAATCAGAGAAACCCATTTCAGGGTTGACTGTGTGATTCATTGTGTTTAATTGCAATACTTAGCCTAAAATAGAAATGGCAAAAACAGTATGGATAGGAGCAGTAATAGGAACGTTGTCTACTTTTTAAAAAAAAAGGCAAAACGGAGGAAAAAGCACAACATTTGATATAAGCACGGACAAAGAGCCTCTCACCTGTATTGTATTGTTTCAGATGTGGTTGAAGCTCTTAGTTTGGTCATGAGGATTCTTACTATGTTGAAGAGGAAAACAAAGTTGATCTAGAAAAAAGGAGACAACAGAGACTAGTTAGGCCGTGTAGTAATGAGCTTCTTTGAAGAACACAGAGAACAATTATCTGGTCCGAACAGACAGCTCTGTGAGCCGCCTGTAAGCCTGAGCTGTCTCTGAGCTGGGAGAACAAAACAAGTCAAAGTACGACCCAAAGCACAGTGAAAGAACACAACACAGCAGAGGTAGTAAAAATAATACTACATAGGAGAGGAACTAAAATGTTACTGAGATTTCCATGGATACATGTTTTAGTCTTATGTTTGAAAAGGCCTTAACCCATCAGGGAGATTTCATTTTACCTTTTCAAAGGAGGCTGCACAATCATATTTACTGTTTTAATTTTGAGCTGATGAATTAGTTTACACCCATACGAAAGTTTATGAGCTTACTTTTGTGAAAAAAGAAAAAAAATAATAACAAAGCTTTTTTTTTTTTTTTCTGCTCACCAGAAGCACAAGAATAACTGGTCCCTGGTAAATGTAGTCCATATATTTTCCAGGTTCTTTACCAAACCAGCATCTGTTGACAGGAACAAAGCAATAAAAACATAAAATTGAAGCAATCCTCAAGAAAAAAACAACAACAAAACTTTACTTTCTGTTTGTATACTTACTGTTCATTTTCATAATACAGCTTCCCAATGGCCCAAGCAATAATTATAGGACATGGGATACCTGAAAGGGTCATCAACAAAGATTAAATTTAATAGAAAAATAGTTGGACACAAAAAATTAATTTTTAAAAGCCTCCTTAAAATATTTAACTGTATTGCTTCTGATGTAGTATTTCCCAGTAATTTTAAAATCAGCTCTTCTTTCTGGTAGCAATGAACTAATTAGGTCAGAACAATGCACGTACCATTTTTTTTTTAATAAGAAGAATTAAAGATTTTCCAATTTTCCTTCTTACTCATCATTTATTAGCTAAAGAAACATTTCAAGGTTTAAGAGACTTCAGAGTCTTAAAATATATTGTTAACAACCAATCTTTTTCATAAAGGGATAGCGGGCAACTAATGGAAGGGCATCTGAGAAAAACGTTTTAGTGTGCATGTTTTGTTAGAGTAAATGAGAAATTTGTGTTATGAAGCAGTTAAATACTTGATTTTTACATCTGTATGTTAATGACAGATTTTTGTTTGTACTATGACATGGGATTTAATTTATTTAAAATAGCAAACATGAAAAAAAGCCTAAAGTAATATGGAGATAGCATAAGGATATGTTGCATGCATAATATTTTACACAGAGATTGGAATAGCAGATTACCGTAATCATTTTAAGACATTTTTTCACCTCATTCTGAGATTGTCTTGGCTTTAGTTTACTGTTCATGCTGTCTTCTGCTTCATTGCACACCTATTTCTTTGTCAATTGTCGATCGTTAGCTTCACTTTTATAGTCCAAGACTTTCTGTTGCGTTTTGCCGGGTCATTTAGTTTATTTCCTGTAATATAGTGTCACTTTTACCTTTTTACTTTCATTATGTCTGTGTTTTACTTTAGCTGCATCTGCAAAACTTTTGCATTTTTTTTTTTCTGGAATAAAGTTTGATTTTGATTTTTACTGCCACTTGCCTTCCTGCAGAAGCCTATACAATTGGGTCTTACATTTGCCATTTTACAACAAATACATTTTCATGTTTGGATTTATTTTTTCTACTATCCTAAACTGCAAGTCGTGTGCAGTACTTCACAACAGTAAATTTAAGTAAACAGTAAACCGTGCTGGAGCATATTGGCTAAATCAGTTTCATCAACACCAACCCAGTCTGTGAAGACATAAAGTCAAATAAATGTGCTAACAAACTTAGTTCTTAAGGGAAAACCATTTATCCATACTGTCCCTGTGGGAGAGAAACCTTCTTTCCCCAAAAATGCAAAATACCTTTTTTTTTTTCTCACTAAAACAAATGGTGTAGTCACAAGGTCTTTTTGACACTCTTTGTCCATTAGCCCTCCTAATAAAACCACATATATAAAGTGTGAATGATGACCAGTATATTTAGTGAGCATTAGCTTCTCCCCAAGCAGCATCTCAAAGCATTTTTTCATTTTGGGAACAACGATGAGTCCCTGAGGATTGATGGTGTTTTCTTCAGCTTCTTTAAAATGGTGGTCTTGGTTCAGGAGAGTACCATGACTTAAGGCGATACTACAAATGTCTCTGTTTGGAGTACTTGGCATTATTTAGTGACAAAGATAGAGGTGTAGGGTAGGGGTTACTCTTTACTTGCATGAATAAAAAAGCTGAATTATGCATTTAATTATTGATGATGACAGTTCTGTCATTGTAATTCAATAAAGAATCCTAATTCACAAAGATGTATATGGTTTACATCTACCTGGGGTCATTTATGTGAAAAATGACTTTATGTCATGTTTTTTGCAGCGCTACATCTTGGTTTAAGTGGGTTTTAGCAAGTCTAAAAGTGTCATTGGACATAAAGAACAGCCTTTTAAAAACATCAGGCACATAAACCTCTCAAGTAAATCTTTTTTTACTGACAAATATTTTTTTTTTAGTGTCACATCTTTTTGCACATGGTTATGCAAGTTGTCTCAGACTCAGCATAATCTTCTTCAATGATGTGTTGATTGAAAGTGGAGGCTTCTTTGAACTCTTCCCAGGCTGTGCATTTAAAATGGTCCTTGAGCGTCGACAGGGCTGCGTTTGGTCAGGCTCCAATTTGTTTCATTCATTGGTGGTTTGCTTTCACTGAAGCAGGGGGTCAGTAAACTAAAATTAGCCTATTAAAAATATCTAAATATTCAGACAAAAGGGAGGGGGGCATTATCACTCATCGTAACTTGTTTGATGTTTGTATAGACCCAATTGCACACGTTAAAAAATGTGACTTTCTTTTAGATGGACTCGTTAATATTTCTAAAAATGATTAATCTTGTTTGTTTAATATGGGTTGTGTTTTTATAGGGATACTATGGTGGTCGTGAGGTGTAAATGAACAACATTTGAAAAAAACAGAATTACATTTGCATAAACAGAATTACATTAAGCCAAAGCGGAAGTGGCCAAAGTGGAAGTGGCCAGAATCACATTTGAAAAAACTAAATTACATTTGAAAAAACGGAATTACATTTGAAAAAACAGAATACATTAAGCCAAAGCAGAAGTGCCCAAAGCGGAAGTGCCCAAAGCAGAAGTGGCAGAAGCGGAAGTGGCCGGAATAACATTTGAAAAAACAAAAATACATTTGAAAAAACAGAATTACATTTGAAAAACAGAATTACATTAAGCCAAAGTGGAAGTGCCCAAAGCGGAAGTGCCCCAAGTCGAAGTGCCCAAAGCAGAAGTGGCAAAAGCGGAAGTGGCCGGAATCACTTTTGAAAAAAACGAAATAACATTAAGCAAAACCGGAAGTGGTGGGGTTTGTTTTTAGTGTTTTTTTTTTTTAACATAAGTTATTTATATATTACATTTATTTATTACATTTTTTTCAAATGTGATTCCATTTTGTCAAATGTGATTCCGACACTTTGCATGTTTGCAGACACTGTGCTTCACAAGGAGAATGGACAACATTAATAACCTCAGTTTAGAAAAATGAATAGATTATTTAATTTTAAATTGTGGGATATAATAATCAAAACCTCACTTAATTAGTTAGGGTCAGTTAAATTTAGGTCTTCTTTTAGCATTTTAGTTTTTTTCATTTCTAATACGAGCTTTTTAATAAAAAAAATAAAGTGATAGAACCTGATGTGTGTAAAAAAAAAAAGAAGAAGTATGTAACGTTTTAGTAGTGTATTTGTTGTGAAACAATATTTTGTTGTGGTTTTACCTTTTGTCATATTTCCAGCACATTTACACATTTTGAAAATAAACTTGCATAGCTTTACCTTATGATCCAAAGTAAGTGAACCAAGCTAAAGGATTAGCTTACTGTTAGCGTGATGATACTTACACCAGCCAATGAAGAGGAAGACCCACTTTCGCAGCTTGTCAGTAGAATATGTCATTACAATAGCTGTGTGAAGGTAGCATCCTTCAACAAACATCCAGAAAAAGTTTGTCACCACAAAATAGTTGTAGATTGTAGTAATTAGTCGACACCAAGGCTGAAAAAAAGAAATATTTAAAATAACTGGAAATAGGCTTGTCATCCGCACACGTTTGTAATAACTTTCTGTACTGTGAATAATGTTTCATACTCTATTACCTCGTTCCTCTCGTGGATATTGTGGTCAATCAGTTGAAGCAAAAACCACATAACATTTCTCAGGATGAAGGTGGTGATCAGATTCCAGTGGATGATGTTCCGAAGACACCGTATGCTCCTAAACCATGAGACAAACGGTCATGTTTGATTTAAGAGTCACGCACAACATATTCATAGACACATAATGCATGCGTGGAAGATGTAATGTAGTGGCTTTAGATGTGTACGCATGGTTGTACTGAAACTTTTAATAATCAAAAGCTAAATTTAGATCACACTCGATGTAAAAACGTTTTTGCCACAGCTGTGGGTTTCTGTTTCAGCTCCTAAAGACTCAGAGAAAACAGTTGTTTTATTAGTCTGAACAGAGGTATCAGTTCTTAAAATGCACACTGTCGTGGGGTTATATGTCTTTTTAAATAACTCTTTAAGATTTAACACAGTATTTCTATATTTAAACAAAAATTTCAGTAACTGGTGTCTCAAAGCTCTTGTACCTAATTAGAAACATATCTGAAACCCCGACATCGGTAAATGAGTTAGTGGACTTGTCCAACAAAACCCTGAGCAGCCGGTCATCATGCCCTCATCAGAGCTAAATCTGTTATTTTTTCCTGCTCTTCCCTCTGGTATAATTCTGGATTATGGAAAATGAAAGCAGCAGGGCATGCTTTATGGAAATGCAGAAGTCTAACTGTTCACAAACAGGTCTACTGTGAGCACCAACAGGTTTATTCTGTGTCCCTGAAAGAGGTGCAATATAGCTCTATTTTTCTAATATTATTCAAAGCAATCCAGGAAACTCCTAACAACTCTCCCAAAATTCACTGTCTTCTTGGACCACATTTTACCATAAACACTGCTGCAACAGCTGATGGGTGCAAATACATTTTGAGCAGTTTTGGCACCAAAATCAGCTCAATATGCTCGATTCTAGCTCCTGCACTTACTGTCATTCATCTTACCAGACTGCTGAGCCACAACTCAAGCTCTCTCAGCACCTTTGCTCCTTTCTTCCTGTCTCTCAACAGGAGATTTTGGAAATTGTCAGGAAGATGAAGTCCACTACATTTGCCCTTGACCCCTTCCCTTCCATTCTGGTGCACATAAATATTCCTACCACTGGTCCATTACACTATCATCAATACGTCTCTTCAGCCTATGTCTGTTATGGCAGCAGATGCCGGCTCACTCTCTCTTCTTATCCTTTTTTGATTTATCTTCAGTATTTGACATCACTGATCGCAAGATTATCCTAAACTGCTTCTTTCCTTCTTTTGAACGTCATGTTATTGCTCTTGACTGGTTCCGGCCTTATCTTTTAAATAGGACTGAACATATTGCCATTGGAAGAGCCAAGTCTAAGACTCATATAGTCACATGTGGGGCTCCTAAAGGGTCAGTCCCTGACCCTACCCTTTTCATCATGCTTCCTCTTGGACCAGTTATCAGCCTCTATGGAATATCCCTCCACGGCTCTGCCAATGATTCTTGAAATGTAGCACTCTGAGATTTATAAATGTAAAGTGCTCTACAAATTGAATGCATTATTTTTTTTCACAACTGTATTTATTTATTAACCTTACCAGGCAAATCCCACTGAGATTGCATATCTCATTTGCAAGGGAGGCCTGAAGGCAGCCTAACATGCATGCTTTTTAGACTGTGGGAGAAAACCAGAGAACTTGGAGACAACTCACAGGAGAATACACAAAGTCCACACAGATAAACCTCAGGTCCAAATCGGGGATTGAACCCATGACCTTCTTTATAGGCAGCAGTGCTAAGGTGCCATGCAAAATACCGTTGTTAACACTACTAACTTGTTTTAAGAAGAAATTAAAGCCACTTAATATTACAAAATAACATTCTTGTTTTACTTAATGAAAACAAAGTTTTAATGCAGAAACCAGCTGATGTGTGTGTATCTCTTTAAACCAGAACTAACAAAAATCACAACTGCCTCAAAGGCAGAAGGGTTAAGAAAATGCATCAAACCTTTATTAATCAGAGTGGTTCACTGATTTGGGCTGCAGAGATTTGTTCATTTGACATAAGCGAGATAATGGAGAGCTGTGTTAGAATATGACATGATTTTTACTGATTATCCTTTATCTAGTCTACTGCATACAGGCCTCATTTAGATTATTTCTGTACTTGCCTTAAGCACAAGAAGAGAACAAAAGCCACGACCAGAGCTCCCACAGAGATACAGTGGCCAAGGAAGTTGATGATCAGGGCTATCTTATAATGCATGGGGTATTTCCTCTGAAAAGACAACACATAGATTATTGCTTATTCTTACAGCTACAATACAAAAGGATGAAAAAAATAGCTTGGAGACAAATAAATTCATCATATGCAGAGGATGTTACTTAAATGAATATTCCGTTCTTTACATAATTGAGCTTATATGTGCAGACTACTAAATAGATCATGAAATAATTGTGTATATGGGCTGCCAACTATTAAAAAATGAATGGGGACCATTTGAAGCTAATATTACTTTACTATTTCTAGATTAAAATTGCTGATATGTTAAAAAAATGCTACTAATCAAAAAATATTTTATGCTTAGATGACAATTTTCTGTCGGGAACAAATTTGACTGGACTCTATCAACAAAGGCTAGAAATCATGGAGGTAAAATGAAGAAAATGTTTTTATATACATTGTAAGACTCAAGAGGGTATTGACTAAAATTAAATAAACTTAAACATTTTTTATCATGAATTTACAGAATAAAAACACATTTATTAGCACATTTGGAAAAGTAAAACATGTCTGGAATATACGATTATTCTATTTTTCTGTGTATTTCAAAGTACTTACAGTTTCCTAAATTCTGTTTTTAATTCAATATAGACACCACAGCTAGTTCATTAAACACAAGGATGGCTATCCCTTAACAAAAATTTGACAAGCATTGAGCTAGAACTTGGTATGGGAATATATGATGTTGTTCTCCAATGCGTTTTTGATAGCTAACTGCTAAATGCCCCAAGTAGAAGGCATCTTCAACATTTCTCAAGGAATTTTTATAGTTGATGCATACCATTGAAAGCATTGGAGGCACAGGAGTGCATGGCAAATATGCTATAGGATTTACATTAAAGGAAAGAAAGTGCATGTCACTGACACACTTGTCATGGTTTAACATTTCCAAGACATTAGAGCAGAACCCAGAAACATGGGTCCCTGGATGGATGGATGGATGGATGGATGGATGGATGGATGGATGGATG